TTGACTGTTAATGAGATACGGTACTTAAAGAGCTTGGCTTGGGGTCTGGCACATGGTGGCATCAGATCATTTGCGATGTTACACACACATTTTCCGTTCACTAGGTTTTGTATGAATTAACCCTTACTTTGTAAATGTCCTGTTCATCGTCTCTGGCCCTTTTTGGAGTGGGCAGTAAGGATACCAACATTGTATTATCCCTTTTTTACAGAGGAAGAAACTGGGGCACAGGGTTTGTGACTTGCACGAGGGATTCAGCTAGCATACTCCATTAGCAAGTGGTGGAACTGTGATTGGAGTCCAGGCAGCCCGACGCCAGGGCCACCTCCCTGAAATCCCTACCACTGTAGTCCCCTCTTGCGGGTACATAGCAAGTGGAGCCTGCTAGTCCCCACTCACCACCCTTGGACAGACTGTGGCAGTCTCAGAAGCCCAAGAGGTAGGAACCCATTCGAAAAATGGCACTCTCTCCACCTTCTCCACAGCCGAAAAAGAAGAAAGATATCCTTGGCCATAAATTGGAGAGCCCCGAGAGGCTAATGTGTGCACCCTGGGATGTCTGTCCACTCCATTCTGGCCGCCTAGGTAGGTTGCGACAGCCTGAGCGGGGCTCTGTGAGCTTCAGGCTGGACAGCGGTTCCTCAGCAGCCACTAGAGGGCGCAATGCGCCGTGGGCAGGCACTGAAGTCCTCGTTTGCCCAGCTCAGGCGTGAACTTGTTTGTCCTGTGTCTCAAGAGAGGAAATGTTGGTCTCTTTCTCAAGGTTCTTCACCCAATGCGCTGTTTTCTTTTCCTCTTGATGTCATCCTTTTACACAGGCAGGAAACTATGTTCACTTCTACTACCCTGTGGTCATTTAAAACCACAAACAAAGCTGATTGACCAGGAAGTCAGATAATTAAAAGAGCCTTAAGTTCTTGATAAAGCTTTGTTGACTGAGGAAAGAAAAGTAGCCAAAGTATCGTGATTGACGGGGGGACCAGCAGCCAGAGAGGCTGAGCTCTCCAGATTGCAGTGGAAAGGCATAAATTGGTTATTAAAACAAGTTGGCGAGCTGTGACCAGTATTTGGAAAAATTGAACTAGACTTGAACAAAATAGAACAGAACAAATAACATAGAACAGAGCTTTTTCCATTCCGTGTGTGCATACTGAGTTGCTTTCTGAATTATGTTTCTCATTGTACTTCAAAGTTTTAAAAATATGAAAGCCTTGGCCGGGCTCGGTGGCTCATGCTTATAATCCCAGCCTCGGTGACAAGAGCGAAACTCTGTCTCAGAAAGAAAAAAAAAAAAAAAAAACAGATAAGAAGAATAAATTTGGAGAAATGAGGCCATCAGAGAGGATAAGAGGATGAAAATACTCGTCAGAACATAAAGCTTTGGTCTCCAGGCTTCCCCAGGCCAAAGGTGGGAGACATCAATTAATCCACCACCGTCTTGGTGGCCGTCAGACAGAAACAGTCCATCTACTAAGTGTGGGGGAAAAAGCTATTGCACATGGCCCTCATGTTTCTCTACGGCCACATCACAGCTTCGGTTGATTTAAGGTGAAAAATATTTGAATGTTGACAAGCTAATTGTCAGGTGATGACAGCAGAAATTGGTTTTCATTTTTTAAACTGATAAGAACATGTTTGTGATTTTGACAAGCGTGGTAAACAAACAAAATGGTGATTTATGTTGCTCAAATGAGAATAAAATTTATTTCACAAATTACTGATATTTCTAACATACACAGTTTAATTGTTCATTCTGGAAAAACAGGGGAAAGGGCATACGCTATCCAAGCACAGGCTTCCATGTAAAGCTTAGCCCACCATGACATGGGGATCCCCCCAGCTCTCACCCACTATGACACGGGGATCCCCCCAGTTCTCATCCACCATGATTCTGGGAAAACAGGGAAAAGTGGGCATATACGCTTATCCGCCACAGGTTTCCATGCGTAAAGTTTAGCTCACCACAGACATGTATCCTCCAGCTCTCACCAATGCATTACTCTGGGATCCCCAGTTCTCTCATATCCTCACCATGACATGGATACCCCAGCCCTCACCCACCATGACAGACACCCCCCAGCCTCCTCACTCCACCAGCAGACATGGGGATACCCCCCAGCTCTCACCCACCATGACAGGCGGTGGAGATACACCCCAGTTCTCACCCACTATGACACGGATACCCCAGTTCTCACCTTACACTACAGACATGGGGAGCACTCCCCCAGCTCTCACCCACCATGACCATGTTGATGCCCCAGCTCTTATCCCATCCTCCTCTTCTCTAAGCCTGAGCTCAACCGGGTGTGTAGAAGGCCAATCCTAGCCTCATCCTGCAGCAGAAAATAGGTGTAGGAATGAGGGGGTGTGGAGCAAAACATGTCATCTTCCAGCCATAGGTGTCAGTCCAGCAAGTCTTAGCCAGTCTTGAGAGTACACTTCTTTCTTCTTGAGCCTAGTTTTGGGCTTGAAATCAGGAAAGATCTATTTCCCCCTTTTCTGATGTGGTGGGAGATGGGGGCCGAGGAGGAAATCTGCCATGGGAATGCGAAAATCTCTACCTTGCAGTCAGTTCATCTGGTGGTCTATCCCTGAGGCTTCCGTTTCTCTTGGGTTATCTTTGCAAGGTGGTTATGCCAGAGCATCACAGGTGAGCAGTGGCAACTGTCGCCTTTCCTATGAGAGCCCCAGAGGAAAGGTGAATTTGGATGACAAGAGCCAGGGCTCTGAGGTCCTTCTCAAGTGGAGAGCCCCTCTCCAGGGACAGCCTGGGAGATGCGGGTGGAATTATATTGTGAACAGCAGCGTTTCTCAGAAGTTCCTGGGTGTATGGGCGGGGATATCCACACACAGAGTTCCCATCTCCCAGAACAACATTACTGGAGATGTGTGGCTTCTAACATTCAGACTCAGCAGCCACCGCTCCTAGAGCCAGCGTCACCCTCTGTAGCTCACTCCAGACCTCATCTGGAACAGCCTCTGTTCTTCAAGGAAACTAGGAAGGAATTTTCCACTTTACACAGCCCCAGATCCATAACCAAACAGGCATGTGTTGGAGAGAAGTTTATAAATAAAAAACAGGACCAAGTGCCCAGGAAAGGTCAACCGACTGTGACGTGGCAGGAAGTGGTCTGCGTCACTATGGAGTGCTGATGGGTGTGGGGGCCCTGGGGGCTGAGGCTCCCTGAGCACATTCCATATTTTGGCAGGCCAGCCCCTCACGGCATCCCATGGTGTGCCAAGCACTTCATCTCGCCTGGTCCTCCAGGGAAAGATCGCACCTTCCCGGGCCCTTTATTTCACGTGACTGGGTCTCTCCCAGGGCCTTTCTCACGAGCCGACTCAGGGTATTTGAGGGGAGATACCAAAGGAAGTGGGTTTTGTGGCTGACTCAGTCATTATAGGAAGGTGAATGTAAAGGTAACCCAGTAATTCAACACCTATATTTCACCTCTCGGGTCCAATCTCCTCTCTCAGCCCTACCTCCAGGTCAGTCCCTGGGGATTCCCAGGGAAGCCTCTAATTCCCTCAAGCCAGGATCTTGGAAAGGAGTGATGAGGGTTTACAGCTAATTTATATTAAAAAACTCTGTGAATCATTAAATTATAAATTGGCCTGTGACGAAGGCACACTGGCTCATTGGAAACGGACTTCGCTTTGCTTGGACTAGAATTCTGGAGCCCACCCCCAAGGACTAGGGATAGGACCCCATTGACCTCATATTTGCTCCAAGCCCAGTTGGAGAAACGGGAGAGAGTTGAGGGTGGCCTTCAGCTTTCCTATAAACTGCCTTTTTGTCCCTTAGCCATTGAACTCTTAAACCTCCTTTCTTATGCAAATTTGGACTTGAGACCATCAGCAGAGCTGTTACCTGCCAACCTGCTTACTTGTCAGCGGTGAGGCCAGGCTACTTTAATTATTCGTATTCTTGCTGCATTGCACCCCTATTATTTCATTAGGAATTAGTAGAACTTTAAAAAGTTTCTTTGCATCTCGATTTCTCTCTCCAACATGGGAGTCATCATTCCTCATGGAGGATTTGCTAGTTTAATTAAAACAGGCTCTTTCTCCTGTTGCATCCAAGAGGAAAATGGGCGTTGCTGGATCTGTTCCGCACTCTGTCCCCTCACTTGCTGCTGTTCTCTTCTCTGGGCTGGTCTCTGGAGGCTGCCTGCAGTGCTGGAGCAGGCAGGGTGGCTGCGGGCTGGCTGAGGACACTTCGCCCTTCCTTCTGTGGAGAGCGTATGAGACCAGGCCAGGAAACCCCCTGAGGGTAGTGGACACCACCTCTGGCCGCTTGACTAGCCCTGGTGCAGTAAGATCTGGACCGCAATGGGTGAGTGGTCACTGGTTTGTGGTTTGGTGAGGATTTGGGGAATATCCCTACCCCATTCCAATTTGAGGGCATCTCAGCACCCTTCCTCCTCCCTTCCCAGCCACTTCCCTCTGCAGGATGGAGGGAGCCAGAGGCAGCCACAGTGTGGGGAAACGGGAGTGATGCTGGGATGTGTCCTCTCTGAAGGGCGTGCCTGTGAATTTTACAAAACGGATTCTCTAGCAATTAATTATTTATAAGTGAATGATCACACTCACAGGACATCAGTCGAGGCTGTCAGCAAAATAGAAAGCCGACCCGTCGGAAGAAAAGGTATTTTCTGGAAACCTCTGACTTACAGGAGACCAGCACTGTTGGTGAATTCTTTAACTGGAGTTTTATAAGTGAAAAAGCTTCCCTCTTTCCAATGTGTCTCTACTTTCTTTTTATTGAAAAGTATCAAAAATGTAATAGTAGTAATGAATTATAGTAGCCATTTTTTAATGCTGTTATTCTTAAAATGTATTTTATGTCCTACCTCAGAGCAGTGGGGAGGCAATGGGAAGGCAATGGGGAGGCACAGCTTAATGGTACAGAATTTCAGCTTGAGAGGATGAAACAATTCTGGAATGGATGGTGGCGATGGCCAAACAACAGTGCCACAGAACTATACACTTAAACATTGTTAAAATGGTAAATTTTATGTGCATATAGTTTACCGAAATAAAAAATTTAAAAAGCAAATGTTAAATAAAAAGTGGACCAATGTCAAGTGAAGGCCTCTGTAGGATGCTAAACAAATGTGTAATGTGAGGTTACCTTGGAACAGAAATCCTTCAAACACAGGAGTGGGCTCCTTAGCACCTGAAAGTCCATCCCACACTGGGCACAACCCACCGCCTGTGAATGAAGGCACAGCGCCTCCCAACCCACCCGTTCCCCACTCCATCTGGCTCCCGCTCCCGCCCCCGACCCCACCGGCTGGTTCTCCAGGCTGATTCCCCTCCAGCCCGCACTGACTGCTTGCTAAGTCTCAGGGTCAACAACCACAGCCTCAGAGGGTTGAGCTATGTCTAATTCCCTCAGGCCAGGGTCTTGGAAAAAAAGCGATGAGGGTTGACAGCTAATTTTTTGTATTAAAAAACTTTGTGAATCATTAAATTACAAATTGACCTGTGACAAGGGCACACTGGCTCATTGGAAACTGACTTTGCCTTGCTCGGACTAGAATTCTATCATCTGTGTGCTAACTGCGTCTCTCACAGGCTGCTCAGAATTCTGCTTGACGTGTCTAAAAGGGAAAGGGAAGGAATTCTTGCTTGCTTTAGTTTGACAGATAAAGCCTCTCAAAGCATGGAAGGGTGACCAAGCGGCAGTCATGGCCACACCCGTGGGTCCCCACTGGTCTAGGTGACTTTTAACTCGCTTCTGGAAGCACAGTGCTAAGGCTGTAGTCACAGCTCTTTGAACTGGCAGAGTGAGAGAGACACGGACACAGCAAATGACCCCTGAGCACGGGGCCCTGCGGACACTGAACAGACGTGGACAAATACTGCTATCCTTGCCAACCCTCCTGGTGCTAGACTGCCCTCCTGTCATCCCCCGACAGCAGAGGCCCCCATCTCAGACTCCGTGGGTGCCACATCATGGGCAAACTTCCAGGCATGCGCACTGCCATCTCTAAAACCCTCCATGTCCTGTTCCCAGGGGGCGCACGTGCTGTATGCACCCAGGCCGCAGTGAGTGTGCATGTGTGTCAACAAGCCCATAGGCTAAAAAGGGCCTTCTGCAGAAGCCATGTCTTTCCCTGAAGAAGCAGCTCTGATCGAAGCAAACAAATGCCAACAAATGCAACAGACTCTCTCACTACTACGCAACTGCCAGCTTCAGAGTGGATGGCCCCGATGAAATGTGTCCTCCTCCAGCTGTGAGCCACCGCGTAACGACAGACCCTCCATCAGAGCGTGACGAACCTTGTGTCCTCCCACCCGCTCACCTGTCGTGCGGTAGCAAGGCATGTGCTGTGGCAGCTGGACCGCAGGGGACGGCCGACACCTTCTGGGCGGCATGTGATATCTCACTGTCTTCCAAAACTTGGTCTTCACACACTGTGACTGCTCCGTGAAGTCCCCATGCCACCGGATCACCCCGTGCTTCTGTCTGATGTACTGGATGGACTCCGGCATGGCTGTGTAGTCCTCAATTTTCTCCAGCTCAATGAGAATAACCTTCATCCCGTCCTGGATGAGGGCATTGTAGACCGCGATTTGTTCTTCTGACAGGTTCTTCAACAGGCAAAAGCCCAGCGATTCAGGGACCACAATGACAATCAGTCTCCTGCACAGCTTAACATTTTCATCGATGACATTGGCCACAGCTGGAAATAAAGAAAGAAGGCTCAGAAGAGCTCACAATTAAAACAGCCTGGGTCTTCATGCTAGTGAGAATATTTGAAACAGGCTCTGAGAGGAGAAAACTCACTTTTTTCTTTTTTTTTTTTAAATGAAGTCTCGCTCTGTTGCCCAGGTTGGAGTGCAGGGATGCAATCTCAGCTCACTGCAACCTCCACCTCCCAGGTTCAAGCCATTCTCCTGCCTCAGCCTCCTGAGTAGCTGGGATTATAGACACGTACCACCACGCCCAGCTCATTTTTGCATTTTAAGTAGAAACAGGGTTTTACCACAAGTGGGTGTCGAACTCCTGGCCTCAAGTGATTTGCCCACCTTGGCCTCGCAAGGTGCTGGGGTTACAGGTGTGAGCCGCCGTGCCTGGCCAAAAATGGACTTCAGAATAAACATGACTTAGTCAGGAATGGATTAATACAAGTTTTGGGGGCTTTTTCTTTTTTTAACATTTGTCACCTCTTCTGTGAAGCTTCCGTGGCTTTCCCTGAAGCCTTGGTCCTCTACAGTCATGAATCATGTTTTGCATGTGGTTTCTTTGTATGTCACTTTCCCTGGCCAGCAAGTATCTGATGTTGCCTAACTTTGTATCCCCAGACTACCTGAAGGTCTGGTGTATATTAGCAGATGAACACATTTTTAAAAATAGATTTTAAAAGGATAGTAAACATGTAGTTAGCTGAAATGTTGCGTTAATCTTGAATTTGTGTTTTCCTTTTTCTTTATAGTTATTTAAAGGACTAGGATTTATGTGACTAATTTAGAAACCAAATAACATGCCCTGATGATTGCTTGGGAAAGGGAGGGCTCTTTAAATACCCAGCTGTGCAGATGCTATTCAGTCTACAGTTGCCTCTCACAGGAAATAAGAATAGACTGGAACCTCCCTGAGGACAGGCCCTTCTGCTTGGCTGATTTTCGTATTTCTAGTGCCTAGAATACTGTTCATCACATAGAGGTTTTCAGTAAATATGTGTTGAATAAGTGAGAGAATTGGCATTTACTGGTGACTAGAAAAGAACATTTATTTCAGATTTCAGTCATTTTGCTGTATAGCCTTCCAAGAAGGAGAATAAAGGGACAGGAAGGCACCATTGTGTAAGTGTCTAAAGTGTGCTGAGCTCCATGCCAGCGGCCCCTTCTCAGGTTTTCTCATTCAGTTCTCTCATCTGAGTCAGGGAAGCACCCCATCCCCATTTTACAGATGAGACAACTGACGTTCAGAGATGTTAACTGAACTGTCCAAAGCCACCTTCCTATCAAATGGGAAAAGTGCACTAAAACTTCCATTGTATTTAGGGAGGGGAGAGGCAAGTAGGGTTGAGGTTTATAAAATCAGCGTTAAGCATGACCTGATTTACATTGTTCAAACCCATGGAAAACACCTAGCAGTTCGTCTCAGGGACGTGAGGGCAAATGACCACTCGCCACCTTTCAGTCCTTTAGCCACAACGTAGTTGTGTAGTTGTAACAATGTAGTTACATCACTGGCCACCTGTTTCTGTGAACGGTTTAACCATATCCTCACTGAAAGTGAGATGCACGCTGCTGCAAGCAGGAACCCCAGACACTGCGACGTAGGGAGGAGCCTAGAGCGGGCAGCGAGCTTGCGCCTAACCTCCTTGGCTGGGGACTAGGGGCTGGCGGGCAGGGGGCGCTGGTCATAGACTTCCTGTGGTTCCATGGGGAAGGCAGGCAGAGTCATCGCCATCAGTAAAGTGGAGGAAAAGAAGGGTGGCTTTCCTTCTTTTATTTGTTATTTTTATACCTCACTCAAAACACACCTTGTCCAGGGAATTCATCTCTGCCGAATATAAACAACTTATATCCACATTGCCTCTCCAGCACCTCGGGCAGGATCTTCAACACCAGGGTATCCACGGCACGCCTCTGGCTTTCCCTGTGGGGCTTGGGGTATAAGACGTAGGCGTCATACAGCTTCCCGTCTGAAAAGGAAATGGATACGCTCGTGGAATTGTTGCTACCGAATTCTCTCATGTTAACAAACCGGAAGCCTGAGCGGCTACCATGGTGTCCTTTGGCCTGGGATCCATGACTTCCGAGTGCCCAGCTGGCTGACGGTGCCAGGGGCTGCCAAGCGACATCATCTCCTCTCACAGATGGACCCCTGAGGGAGGTGGTCTTATCTCCAACGCACAAGAGTGAAGCTGAGACTGGGTAGGCTGCATCACATCTGCAATCCCTAACCTTACCCCACGTCTTTTGATTCTAAGTCCACCACTCCCTGTGATGCGGCCAGAAATGAGAATTAAAGGCAGGAGACTCGTCCAGCGCAGTAGCGTATGGCTGTAATAAACGGGCTGAAGCAGGACAGCTTGAGGCCAGGAATTCAAGACTACCCTCGGCAAGATAACAAGACTCTCCAAAGAAAATAATTGTTAAAAAGTTAGCCAGGCATGATGGCTCATGCCTGAAATCCCAGCTACTCAGGACGCTGAAATGGGAGCTTAGGAGTTCAAGGATGTGGCCAGGCATGGTGGCTCATGCCTGTAATCCCAGCATTTTGGGAGGCCAAAGCGGGTGGATCACCTGAGGTCAGGAGTTCAAGACCGGCCTGGCCAACATGGTGAAACCCTGTCTCTACTAAAAATACAAAAAGTTAGCCAGACATGGTGGTGGACACCTGTCATCCCAGCTACTCAGGAGTCTGAGGCAGGAGAATTGCTTGAACCTGGGAGGCGGAGGTTGCAGTGAGCCGAGATCACACCACTGCACTCCAGCCTAGGGGACAAGAGCAAAACTCTGTCTCGAAAAAAAAAAAAAAAGGAGTTCAGGGATGCAATGAGCTATGATCACGCCACTGCACTGCAGCCTGGTGGACAGAATAAGACCATATCTCTAAAACAAACAAGAAAAGGATCTCTAAAATAAACAAACAAAAAAGCAAGAAACTACCCATTTACCCATGTTACCCTCAGCGTGTTCTGTGTGACGGAGCACTGTCCTAACTGCACCAGGCCAAACTGGATGACTCCCTCCTGATTCAGACCCACCAGTCTAAGAATTCCATCACTACAAGCCCACAGACTCACATCTGTGAAACGAGAGAACAAGCAATTAAGCAGACTCTAGTAATCTGCAGTGCCGTTGAGAGAAGTCAGACCCAATGGCGCATGTCATCGTCATCAGTATTTATTGAGTGAACTCAAAAGCAGCCTCTGCATTGGCCAATGCAGAGATGAGCAAGACACAGACCTCACTGGGCAGACCATTCACATGCACAGAAATGAAACAACACAAGACACAACACGGCAATGAGAGCCAAAAGAACAGAAAAGACAGCAAGAAACAAAAATCTCCATGGTCTGGAGTCCTTGAAAAAAAAAAAAAAATTCACAATGAACATGGGACAGCTCCTGGATTTTTAAATTTTTTTGTTATTATTATTTTTAGATGGAGTCTCGCTCATATCTACCAGGCTGGAGTGCAGTGGCGCCATCTCGGCTCACTGCAACCTCCGCCTCCCAGGTTCAAGTGATTCTCCTGCCTCAGCCTCCTGAGTAGCTGGGATTATAGGCACCCGCCACCATGCCCGGCTAATTTTTGTACTTTTGATAGAGACAGGGTTTCACCATGTTGGCCAGGCTGGAGCTCCTGGATTTTAAAGGGTAGGAGAGTTTAGAGGAAAAAAAGTGAGGGTCTAAGAGTGGATGGTAAACAGGCTTGCAAGGGAGCAGCTTCAGAAGGGCATGGAAGGAGGAATAATTTCCTACTCAGGAATCATGTAAATCAATAAGGAACTTCAGCAGGGCCAGAGGCCTTGAGTGGAAGAAGAGGTAAGTGTGGGCGTCTCGTGGGAAAATGCGATTTTGAGCTTTGGGCAGTTGAGAAACTCAGACAACCTAGAAGGTACTAGAGAGGAGTGGTGTCCTTCTCTATTCTCTTTTCATGAGAGCTTATTGGATGAGCAGATTTGCAGAAACAGGTGATTTTAAGATTAATAAGGGAAAGGAAAACCTTGTAGTCTTCTAGTTTTCATCCAAATAATAGTAATGAAAACGTGCACAGATCTTGACAGTTTACATATCACCACTTCTCATTCCATCAGTTCTCACACCAACCACTGCTGACCTTCGGGTCCCTGCTCACTATTCTTGACCATCTCTTATGGAGAATGGTAACACACACACACGCATGCATGCACATGCATGCACACCCGTGTGTGCACATATAGTCATACACACGCATGCACACACACAGGTACACACTCCTTCTCTGCCTCCCACCCCATCATGAAAGGAAGCTGTGTGAGAGTGGAGACTTTGTTGGCTCCCTGCCCTACCCTCAGCCCGTGGAGCAGGACCGGGTGCAGAGGAGGCCTTCATCAGTGCTCACCGAATGTCCAAATGAAGCTTGATTTTACAGAGCCTCAAAGAGCTTTATCTATGTTGGGGACAAAGCTGAGGTCAGATTCAGCTTTTTAAGGTGGGATCACAGGGCAGGTACAAAAGGGGTAACTAATTTGTGTCTTGAATTGGCAAAAACCCAACAAAGCTGAAACTCCTTGTGGAATCTTGAAGGTCACTGATCGAGACCACCGCTCACATAAGTGGATACTTTTCTGTGTAAAATTTCATAGCACACATTTGACTTTCCAAAGCCAGAGGATTTTTTTTTTTTTTCTGTAGATAGAAAATCGAAAAAGAAACATTTCATAAGGTTCTTATGTTTCTGAACTTTTGGAGAAGGAATTAAATTTTCCCATTTAAAAATGTGATCATATTTATCCTTTGGTTTCTGATGAAGGGCTGGCTGAGTTGATGCTTGGTTCACCACAGAATACGGTATTTCCTGGTCTGTTCTAAACTACAGCAGACATGCAGGCTTATTGCCACTTGTCCCAGACCCTGCCACTCGTATCTCGCTTCTCTCAATCTGTTTTTCTTTTCTTCCTACCGTTTCTGATTTAAAAAAAAAAAAAAACCATGTGTGCTAAGTGTATTCTGTCTTTTGCCAATGTTTCCCGTTCCCTGTTTCTAAATGAGGTGTCTGAAGATATAGGTACTTAATGCTCTCCAACTTCAGGATCAGAAGACATCTGAGTAGCAAGAAAGTCTCACACCTTTTAAAAATTCAAAATGTACGAACATGCCCAATTTTTTGGTCATCTTTTTTTTTTCTTTCTGTCTGACTAAGCTTTTGAGTAGAAATAGAACTTGCTGATGTTCTCAAAATGTAGTGAGTTTTCATCACTTTCAAATGACTAATTCCTAATTTACTGACCAATATATTAAGAGCAAAAGATCGAGCTGTAGTCTTTTGCTTTTTGCATCAGGCCACTGGTTTCGAAGCGCCTTGCCAGGCAACAGCACCTCAACACTTCCTGGCTGCGCTTCTCATGACCAACCGTGTGGGACGTGGTTCTTATCTCAAATTATGAGTAAGGAAGCTGAGACCAGCAAGACGGCGCGCTCTCTCCAAAGTCTCCCAGCTGGTGAGTGCATAGCCTTGATGTAAACCCAGGTCCGCCGTTCATTTTGCTGTGACTAAAATGAGAAACGGGCGCAAGAAATTTCACAAAACTTATCCCTGATTAGTCCTGTGCAGCTGTGTCAGTCTGAGTTTTCCAAAAGTAGCCCCAGCAATATTTCCAGTCCCACATGTTCTTCCAGAACTTTGCCACACCTTCGCAAAGACGCAGAGTCTCTTTCCACTCCCTTAAAATCGTTACGTCCTTCTTGGCTCTTGGCAAAAAATATATAAAAGCTCATGCACATAAATTAATATTTATGAAATATTGCCTAAAGATTATTCAATTCCCTACCTTCTCTTAATATGATATTGCTAAATTTTAGGCCAGATCAAACCACAACAGTGGAAAACTCAGATTCAATCTGGCCTCCATGCAAATGCTTTTACTGAACCGCAGGACGTTTGGTGGGTTTAGCCCCAATACGCATAGAAAACACTAGAGGAAAAGTCACACAAAACATGCTATGACATGCGAAAGTTGTTGCAGTCAAGCTTCCCTACACCACGCCCTTTTGAAATGAGGACTCTCTGTTGGAAAAAAAAAAAAAAAAAAAATCTGCCTTTGGAAATTAGTCTCAGAAAAAGCCATGTTCTCTCATGAAAATTGGAAAGGTTGTTGTGAACAGCACACAAGGGATCTTGTCGCTGCCTTTACTTTGGCTTGAAAAGCAAATTCACCTTTAATAATTGTCAAAGGTATCATTAACTCTACCGCGACTGGTTTTCCTCGTCCCCTTGGTTTCCCTTCGATCACTCCAACTGTTTGCCTTGTCTGCGTTTTAACCATTCTATCGTACATGCACATTCTCCAAAGACCTATCTGGAGGAAGGCGAGGCGTTTTCAAATCTCTCTAAGAGATCTGTACACAGACCCTTCCGTCCTCGTACACACACGCAGCCCTGCCAGGAGCATTTTTAAAGCTCCAGGGGCTTGCTGGAGAAGATACAGAACTTGCTGACTTCAGCCAGGGCAGTCAGTGGCTTCTCCTAAAACGGTGAGTCATGCACACCTAATTAATTGAGCGATACAGCTTAGCTAACCCAGTCAGGGTAAATGACTTATCCTACGAAGGACATTATTTCTCTCTTCCTCATTTTCATCCATTAATTGGCATTTCTTGATTTAACTCAGAAAATATCCTCAAGGGGAACAAGGACATAAACAGGATCTGGGACTCATCTCAGAATCTCATCAGTAGCTTAAAGCCAACACACAAAGATACTACAGGCGGTTCTCGTGGATGGAACTGTAGAGAATTTCATGACAAAATGCACACGTAGTTTTCTGAATTAAGCAAAATAAAAATAAAGAAAAAAAAGGACCCCTGGCTGCCTGTGGGCCTCCATCGCCAAATCCTCTGCCCACTAGTGGAAAATGTGGGCTGCGTCCCAGTCTCGGCAGAGGGTAGGGCTGCCTAACTCTGCCATCTGCCCAGCCCCCGCTACTCGGTGTGAGTCACTATTCCTGTTTTCTCTTCCTGCTAAACTCGACCTCACGAGCAGCTTCCCCACACACACTGCACAACACTCATAAGTCACAGCTGTAATCACGCTCCTGGGAGTCGCAATGACTCAGTGAGGGAGTCACTGAGAGAGTCAGTGAGAGAGAGAGAGAGACAGCGAGAGAGACACGCCACAGGGCCTGGGCTGCCAGGAAGAACACGTCAAGTGACGCAGGCTTCTGTGAGTCAAAAAGTAGAAAGCAGTTGAAGCACTCACATCTGTGTCAGAAAACAGTAAGTGGTGGGGACTGAACTGTCTTCTTCTCAAAGATGCAAGCAGGAGAGCAGTCATGGGTGTGCTTAGACAGGGCAGCCTCTGCAGATGCCAGAGCCAAAACCAGAGGCCAGAGCCAAACCCCGCCATGCCCAGTCGGACTATCCGCAGTGCTAGGAGTACTTCAGGTTGCACTGGACACTTAAGGTTCAGATGACTTCTGTCATTAAAAGGAGTTTATTGCTTTCTCCATTGCTCGGGGTTGCTAATTTTGAATGCTGAAATTTAATTTGGAAAAAATCCAAGTTAGGACACCTATGTTTTATCAGACATGTGGACAATAACTGCGCTGTGTATTTTATGTGCAAAGCAGGTGCTTGATGGCAGTGACCTCTTTTATGTTTTAGCTGCCCATACAACATTCTCGGACACCCAGTTTCCCTCCCTCTCCTGCTCTTGTCACTCAGGCCTCTGGACTTCAAAGGTATAAATTCGTGCATCTCCACACAGGTCAGCTGCACCGGGTTTCTTTGGGCTTATATTAATTTTTTCATCTAATTAGGGGACACTAGAGCAGATTTATCACTTTTTCAAGGACTTAATAGATTGTATCTGTTCTGAGACAAAACCAAAAAAAAGTAGCGTAAAGAGTCACAAGCACCATGGTGGGAAATGCCAGGCTCTCGGAGAGTCAGGATCACACTGAGGCGTTTCTGTGCCAAACAGCACTGGCAGGACATAGCCCCACAGACCAAAACCCACAGCCGTGGTGTTGGGGATTTGTCTTGACCTCCAGACAAGCAACAGAGGCCGCCCTGTGCCCCAGGCCCCTGCTGAATGCTTCCGTGTGCTTCAGCTGTTATCCCCACTGTCAAAAAGCAGGATGTCATCACTTTCCCTTTCTTTGTTTCTTTCTTTTTTCCTTCCTCCTTCTTATTTCCCTTCCTCCCTTCTCCTCCCTCTCTCTCCCCTGCTTTCTTTCATTTCTTTTCTACGAACCTCCCTTCTTCCTTCCATTTTCCCTCCCCCTCCTTTCCTTCCTCCTTCTCTCTCTTTCCTCCTTCACTGTCTCCTTCCTTCCTTCCTCCATTCCTTTCTAAAGCTGAGAAACAGAAGAAAGTTGAAAATCCAAGTTTACATAGGGAGTAAGTGGAGAAGTTGCATTCAAACTTGGTTCGATCTCTCTCCATATCTGAGAGTTGAAGACTTAAATCCCTTCAGGCACCAAGTACGGGGCCTAGAGAGAGCTCCAACTACAGGCAGCTCATCCCTCTCCATGACACATATTCTGCAACGTGTGCTCATCCACTCTGCTGAGCACACGCCACGGATTGAGAGCACTTTGCCCTCGGAGAAACTTCCCTGCAGCGGGCAGAGGATGGACGTGGAAACCTTTACAGCATGGTTGCAGCGGGACTCAGAAGATGATCTCCTCCCGCAGCTTAGCAAATATTTCCTCAATCGCGACGAGCCTGCAAACCTTATCTGACCGAATGATGCTGGTGATTAGGGACCAATCATTTCTCTAAAGCATAGGCAGTTCCAAGGAGATTCCTTTCCCGAAATTTGCCGGCAACATAGTAAAATATGACAAAGTATATTTGAAATCGTTGTATACGTATAAGAGGATGCCAATTTTGAGGCATTTTTCAGTGATTACACACACTTACCTTCTAGGGTCTCTGTAGAACAGAAGGCACTTCGATACCAAAGAACAATGTCGATCTTAAAAATGCTGTATATGTACACAACAGACACAGCCACAGCCAAAAAGGCGATAAGCCCTCCTATCAAGTAAGCTCGAAAATCTGGTGCTACAAATGACAGAAAAAAAAATAAAATAATTATAATTATAATAATGATACAAAGACCCCATTATATACTTTACTAATACAGATCACACTATGAATTCCAAATGGAAAGGTTTTGGATGTCAGTGAGGGCACTGTTTAAACATTTCTTTAAAGTCAAAAGAGTGGTGTGGGAGCAGAATAATCTGATCTGGACCACGATTGTTAGGAAACAACTCAGCTCCTGGGAACCTATAAGAGTAAAAGTCTGCAGAGTCCTAGTTTCCAGTAGACACAGGATAGACCCAACCGCACGAAGACTGCTTTCAAAACACCCATGTCCAGGTTCTGCTGAGTCAACACAAGACTGTCCAGAGGTGGCGCCTGAGTATGTTCATGGGGCACCTTCTCCAGCTGGTTCTGCTGCCTGTTCTTGATTACAATCCTATTGTAACTGCTTTCCCAGCCATTCAAAGTTGAACAGCTGGACACCCATCATCCTTAAACAGCCAACAGTTGTCCCCTCTGGAACCAGCGTGGCTGGCTCCACAAGACAGGCCAAGAGCCAAACCTCTACCTCATCATCTCTGTGCCATCGATTTCCAGGCTGGGTGCCTGTGCGAGAGACACAGTCTCAGAAAGAATGTTTACACCCTACCCTGCTTCATGTGTCCATTGCAGAGCAATTATGAGCCTAAGTGGTGGGCAGGAGATGGCCAAGGAGCAGAACCAGCTCCTCTGGAACCTCAAGTCCCTGAAAACATGCTCCTACACATCCAAGAAAAGGAACAGCATGACTTCTGTCTCACCACAGCCCAAACCCATACCACCAAAGAAGACCCTCTGGGAAGGAAAGAATTAGAAAAGGGGAAGAGGGGGACAGGAAGAAAAGTCCTCCCCATTCTTAAAACCCACCTCACACACCACTTCCTTCTTCAGCCCCTTCCTCATCCTCCAGTCCTCACTGGATGGTGGGGTGGGCAGAGGAGGGGAGGAAGAGGGAGGTTCTTTTCTACTGAGCCCCTAGAGCACTTTAATTTTTAAAAAAGTTTATAGGTACATAATAGTTGCACATATTTATAGGGTATGTGTAAGATTTTGACACAAGCATACAATGTGTAATGACCAAATCAGGGTAACTGGGATAACCATCTCCTTAAACATTCATCTTTTCTTTATGCTGGGAATATTCCAAATCCATTCCTCTAGTTATACTGAAATATACAATAAATTATTGTTATCTACAGTCATTTTGTTGTGCTACCAAACACTAGAGCTCATTCCTACTATCAAAATTTTTTTTTTTTTTTTACCCATTCACCAACCTCTCTTTATTCCCCCTTCACCACTATTCTTCCCAGCCTCTGGTAACGGCCATTCTTCTACCTTCATGAGATTAATTTTTTTAGTTCTCACATATGAGCAAAAATATGCAATATGTGTCTTTCTGTGCCTGGTTTGTTTCACTTAACATAATGGCCTCCAGTTCCATCCCCACTTTGCTGCAAATAACAGAATCTCATTCTCTTTTATGGCTGAATAATATTCCATTGTGCATCTGTGACAGAATTTCTTTATCCATTCATCCACTGATGGACACTTAGGTTGATTCTACATCTTGGCTATTGTAAACAGTGCTGCAATAAACACGGGAGTGCACATATCTCTTTAACACGCTAATGTCCTTTCTTTGGGGTATATAACCAGCAGTGGGATTGCTGGATCATATGGTAGTTGTATTGTTAGTTTTTTGAGGAATCACTATGTTTTCCACAGTGGCTATAAAACACTCATTAAAGAGCTTATTGCCACCTGCCTTAGGCCACACCATGTCGTAAACATCTTGAGGCCCAAGATTTCCCATTTACTATTGCACATCTTTAAATACATGGCACAATAACTAAGAACAAATTTATGCCAAAACAAAATGAATTCATTGAGTAAGTCCCAGTGCAGCCAGAATAGACGCACGGCACTACACACCAGTGCCCGAGCTAATCCTGGGCACTTGTGAGAACCTCTCACTTCAATCATGAGACAGATCCTTCCTGCTTCCCCATCCTCTACCCCTCTTTGCCCTTTCCCAGCTCTCATTAGAATTCCTTCTAGGGGCAATATTGCCACCTCTCTCTTTGGGATGACTTGTGTCTGGGAATATTTAGTGTCTGTTTCAGGGATCTTGGTGTTGTTAACTGTCCTAATAAGAAGACCATGCCCACAGTACTAATGAGGCTCAGAAAGCCTCTGGCACATAGACAGGAGTGATGCTCTAAAATTCTCGGGCTTTTCACTCACTGCCTTCGGGAGTGTTGATGCCCTCTGCTCTATAAACGAGCTAAAAGAGAATGAAATTGGAAACAGGTCATTAATGAATACATTCAGAAGGACTCGGGGCTTTGAAATAGAAATAAATGGGGAGTCCATTCTTGATGTACTAGATGTCCTGGTAAAGGTTAATGGTGGTATTCACCATCTGAGTCATTTGACTACTACCAGCCTTCCACTGAGAGGGTGGGTGAGCATAAGTAACATGCCAATTCACAGAAGAGCACACCCAATTTAAATAACTTTCTAGAGACCCTGCTTCAGAAAAACCAAGTAAGATTCAAATCTGGAGGTGTCTTCAACAAACACAAGGAAGTCAAATGGAGAAGCTATAACCTTAGCTCTGTCCCCAAGTAAACCAACAAGAGGTTTAGATTTAAGAGGGTGAAGTTCCAGGAACTCAGGACAAACAAAACTAAGTCAACAGAACCAAAATACTCTACATTTGAAATAAAATGAGCATTGCCAGGAACTAAGGGATTTAAGAAGCAAGAGCTTAAAACAAAGGAGGTAACGGACTCCATCCCTCCACAAGCTTGACAGGTGTTAACTGGTCACAGCATTGGCTCCTCTGAGCTTGGACTTGGCCTCAGAATCCTTCGGAACACAGTGCTTTCAAATAGTCCAACAAGTCAGTATTGGGGTGGAAATCACTATTGGCCAACTTCAGTCTATATTATCCAATAAAGAACTCAAACTTCTAGGTTGGGACAGATTTAAGTTGTAACCACTTCAGGTGTCGTGGACTCTCCAAGACTTCTTACATCAGCTTCACCTCTGTTCTCCGGGGTGGACCCTGAGTCTCTCTCTCTCTGACCTAAGCCAGGCTGCATCTCTGCTGTAAGCTAATGGAGAGTCAGAGGGAGGAAACGCCAGCAGACTCCACTTTGGTGAAAACAGGTTTTCAACCTGTCCTCACTGACCTACCACACATTTCTGCACTTGTCTCAAAGTCACCTCCTTCATCACAATATGAGCTCACAAAAGACCCACCTTTGTCTGTGATCTGGCTCTCTGTTCTGTGGGGTAGATGAAGGTGACAACTGGGAAATGAGTGGGAACAAGTAGATCAGGGAGGCCATGAATGCCAAGCCAGGAGTTTCCATTTCATCGCCTGGCAGTAAATATCAGTGAATCACACTGTAAAAAAGTGTGGCATTCTATGGAAATGTTAACGACAGACTCTCACCTGGCAATGCTACTCTTCATCACATATCCCGGAGGGATGCCTCTACATGGGTACATAGACACACAAACAGGCATTTCCATAGCAGTATCATTTGTTAATAGTTCCAAACTCAACACAATGCAAACCACATACTTATAGCCCAGTGGATAAATTGTGACCTAGTTATTCAATGGACTAGGATATAGCAGTGTAAATTAATGAACTGTGCTACATGCTATATCAGTGATACACTGATAAGCCCCCCACACCTAAGAAAATAAAACATACTATCTAACTCTCTTAATATAAAACTCAAAAATAGGCAAAAATAAATTATATTACTAGGACTGTCAGCATAGATAGAAAATCAAAGAAATGACTTTCCTAAAAGTTGGGAGGATGATTATCAAGAGGGAAGGATCAAGAAGAACATCCAGGGGTTTTTCAGGCAATGCATTTTTCTTAATCCAGGTGGTAGTTTCATGAGTATTTGCTATACAATGACTTGTTATGTGATGCAGATATTCTGTGTTCCTTTACCATATATGTGCATGTGTTATAGCATGTATAATATATACGTTATATTCCACAATAAAAAAGTATAAAAGAAAATCCCAGCTGATTCTTACAACAGCCGTGGAAGGAAGTCGCTATCCTCCTCATTTCCCAGATGAGGAGACGCGGGCACAGAGAGGTTGAGTGACAGTGCTGTCCTCACAGAGCTCCTAAGTGAACAAGATAGGATCTGAGCCTGAAAACCTGACCTTCACGTCCAGGGCAGGAGTCACCCTACCATCCAGCTTGTTAGTGGGAATGGGCAGGAGGGTAAGAATCCACAGAACTTGGCAAGTCATTGGGTGCTGGCATGAGGGAGGATAAGGGAAAACATCAAAATGACCCCAGATTTTGAGCCCGAACAACGTGGAAGATACAGGAGTTCCATTCGCAAACGTAAGAAAAACAGAACCAGGAGGCTGGAGAGTTTAAAAATGCTTTCTGACATCAGCCAGTGTATCTGCAGTCCCTTACGCAGTTGGAAATGCAGAGCTGTCACGGGAGGAAACAGTATACAGCTGGATATATGGAACATGTTTGCACCTGCCCAGGAATGACAGTTGATGCCATAAAGGGGAAAAAGATTTCAGGGATGAGGACACAGAAAGAAAAGCAGCACAGATGATGAACCTCATAAAGGTACCAGAGAGAGAGAGATGGCAAATGTAAGACTGACTGGGGGAAAGTGATGGAAAAGGATGCTGTATGACAAGGAAAAGTCAGTAAGAGGAGAAAAAAATGGGCAGTGGTGACAGATGAGCCCAAGGGTCCTTCCACATGACGCAACCCAAGAAGGATTCCCCATGCCATGAGGGTGAGGAGAGGGTGCTGTGTTCATTCAGTTAAGGCAGCTGAGGCCAGAACGACACTGGCCTTCAGGACACAGAAGTGAGGCAGAGAACGTGCACACCCAGAGCTGCAAGCTACTGTGCACGGATCTCTATTCATCACAATTCTAAGAGAGGTCACGGGCACTTAGGAGGCCAGGATCTTGGCAGGGGCAAAGGCACAATTGCTAACTCCATACAGCAAACACTGTGTTTTCTGTTACGTGTGTTCTGTTAGGTGGGGCTTCAGCGTGATGTATGCAAGCACAGGTTTAACTGATCATTGAAGGACACCAGCAAATTCAAGTCCTCTCTCTTGCATGTAGCTAGCCAAACACACACACACACACACACACACACACACACACACACTAATGATATTCATAGAATCAAGAAGAACCACTGCCTTGATAAACCACACAGAATGTTGCAAGATATTTCATACACTTCTGATATGTTACGAATTTAAAGTTGTTCTCAAGATTCTGGCTTCACCTTTCACTATCTGTACACTGGCTTTAAAACTTCCAGTGGATAATCAATTAGTTCTGTACGGTGCTCAGAGTGCAATTTGTATACGCATTGAGTTGGAAGCCCTCCTGCTTAAATACCAGAATTCAGCCTCTACAGATAATTTTACAAAGTTACGTAGTAAAAACAGACATAGGCATTTTGGCTTTATATCAAATTATAAACATTTGGCAATCACACTTAATAAAGAAAAGCTTTTGTTTTCTTTCTGTTTTGATGTATAAATCTCGATGTATTGAAAATATGGCACTTTCAAAATATACTACAATAAAATCACAGCCTCACTCCAACAACATTATGAGCCGTTGCATGAACTTTTCCCTAGATTTCATACTGAGTTTGTCCCTTTAATACCATCCTCATGCCTCACTCTGAGCATTTAGAGTCACTCCTCCTTCAGATGTGTTTCCTGGCCATCGCTTTGTACACTCCGAACAGTGTGTAACCCACTGGAGTATTACCTGGGAGCTGTAACATAATGTATGCTGCGGACACTCCGGCGTGGCACATGAAAGGAAGCCCATAATCTTCCATTTTCACTTCCAAGAAGGTGATGTTTACTGTGTACAAATTATGTTCCCGAAAAGAGGCATGGGTTCTATAAAAGAAAAGAGCCAGTCATTAATACATGAGTCGTATTTACCTAACATATTTTATAGTCTGTTTTCTGGAGATTAAGTGTTTTCTTGGAGAACACTTTGGACCATCATGTTATCCTAAGAATACTTTGCTGACTGGCCCAGTGAGGTATGTGGATTGTGTATTTCCAAATTTGCATTTTCTTCTGCATGGTGACAAGGAAGTATGATTCTGTAAGCTACAGACACCATTCTCAGCCCCAAAGGCCCTTCCCCTATTCCTTTCCACGTATCCTAACTTGTCCACACTGCAAGGCCCAACACAAGCTCTCCTGCCCTCTGACTTCATTATTTACGCCACTCCATTTATACCACCATAACTTGAGTTTATACCCATTTAATTAGCTAATGATTATGCACTGTCTTCCCTCAGAGTCCTTGTTGGTGCTTGTTTAGTATAGTAAAGAACTATACTACTATTTCTTCCTTCTACTGTTGCAGTATACACATTTGTGTCACTTCCAGTGTTTCCCTAGTATGCCCAGGGCGTTAAGCTTTGAAGGCCTATGGATCATGATATAACTGAATGGAGATGGTACTAATTTTAAGTAGTAGCTGAGAGAAACGGATCTTACTGCTCTCAGGGATACTTGGTATTTTACCATATCTCCCTAACTATGTGGTAGGTGGGATTGATAACATGAATCACTGAGAGGCAAAAACAAGAGGAGAAGGCGATAGTGAGACCAGATTCACTTAGATGGAGAAATCCTTGCTAGCTTTTACAGAAGTCAAAAAAGCAAAATACCTACTCCACCCCTTCTCTGATTCGTTTGGATTCATTATAGTAATCATCCACCAAAGTGTTATTGACTCTCCAGCATCGTAGATTTGTATTATCCTTCGTGTCTGTTATATTACAGTCCACTATCAGGGTGGTACCTAAAAAATCAATATTATCAATATTCAATGAAAATTCTACAAACTTTCAAATTTGTTAACACCTGGATAACGAATGCATCTTACTCTCAAGCCTCAAATACCTTTTGATTACCAGAAATACCCCCATAGGCTAATGTTATCTATTTTTTTCTTTCCCTGGAGAGAGACCATGAGGGGCAAGTGGCCTTCCAGGACATCCATTGTAAAGGGATACATATACATTACCAAACATCATCAGGTACACAAATGTTATTTCTACTCCTAGTAACACTAGCAAAGAACTTGACAGTTCACAAAGTATTTTATGCATTTTCTCCTTCATTCTTTGCATCTTCAAAACAATCTTACAAGGCAGGAAAAGGGGAGGTGTGATTATCCTCATGTTAAGGATGCAAAAACTGAAGTTCAGACAGATGGAGTGACTTGCCCAAATTAAGTAGAGGAAGAAATGAGAGATGAACTCTAGATTTCTAACATCAAATCCAGTGATATTTCTACTTCAACAAATGTAACCCTCACCCTTTCCCTCTCTTTCCCTTATCTTGCCTCTACACACGTTCACAAATTTCATCAATTTATAGTCTCAGTGGATTTTGTCCCGTGAGCCTAGTAAATTCTAACATTCAAGGAGTGTTCTTTATTCTAAATGATATTTTTTAAAAATATATGTGTGTGAAATATAACACATATATACCAAAGAGTATAGAATAGAAATGCAAAGTTAATGAGTTATCATAAAGCAAATATCTATAACACTTTCACCTCATCAAGAAAACAGGATATTCCCAGAAGCAACGTCTTTTGTCCATTTTTTAATCAAATTATTTGTTGTTCTGTTTTTTGGACTTTGTTTGTTTGTTGTTCAACTGTTTGAGTTCCTTATATATTCTGGATATTAGCCCCTTGTCAGATGCATAGTTTACAAATATTTTCTCCCATTCTGTAGACTGTGTTTTCATTCTGTTGATTGTTTATTTTATTGTGCAGAAGCTTTTTGATTTGATGTAATCCCATTTGTCTATTTTTACTCTCGTTGTCTGTGCTTTTGAGGTCTTATCCAAAACATCCCTGTCCAGTCCAATGTCATGAGCACTTCCTTTATGTTTTCTTCTGGTAGTTTCATAGCTTCAGGTCTTATATTTAAGTCTTTAATCCATTTCAAGTTGAGTTTTGAATATGTTAAAAGATAGGGGTCTAGTTTCATTCTTCTGCATGTGGATATCCAATTTTCCTATCATCATTTATTGAAGAGACTCTTACTTGTTCAATGTGTGTTCCTGGCACTTTTGTCAAATATCAGTTGTCTGTTGATTTGTGGATTTATTTCTGGACTCTCTATTCTGTTCCATTGATCTATGTGTCTGTTTTCACGCTAATATCATGCTGTTTTGATTACTACAGCTTTTTAGTATATTTTGAAGTCAGATAGTGTGATACCTCCAGCTTTGTCTTTGGTTTGGGGCCTTTTGGTCTTTTCCTCAAGATTGCTTTGGCTATTCAGGGTGCTTTGTGGTCCTATATGAATTTTAGGACTGTTCCTTCTCTTTCTGTCAAAATAACGTCACTGGTATTTTAACACAGATTGCATTGAATCTGTAAGTTGCGTTCAGTAGGATGGACATTTGAACCATATTAATTCTTCCAATTCATGAGCAAAGGATGATATATTCAGTGCTGAACAAAAATAAAAAACTGCTGTCCAAGAATACTATACCCAGCAAAGCTATCCTTCAGAAATGTAAGAAAAACAAAGTCCCTTCCAGACAAGCAAAAACTATGGGAATTCACTGCTACTAGACCAGCCATACAAGAAATCCCTAAGGAAATGCTGCAACTGAAAGTGAAAGGGTGATAATTACCATCATAAAAACATGTGAAAACTAACTAGTAGAGGTAAATTCAAAATTGAATTCAGAATATCTCAATTCTGTAATGGTGCTATGTAAATCTTTCAAGCCTCTAGTAATAAGTTTAAAGGTCACAATGGTCAAAAATAACTACAGACACAATTGGTTATTAAAGAACACACAATGTATAATGATGTGAATTAAGGCAACAAAAGTATAAACTGTTAGGAGGAGGATAAAAGTCTAGAGTATTTTTATGTGACCAAATTGTAATCAGCTTAAAACAGTCTATTATAACTATAAAAGTCTTTATGTTAGCCTCATGGTAGCCACAATGATAGAAATTGCAGCAGATACACAAATAAAAAGAGAAAGGAATCAAAATTTAGGACTACAGAAAACCACCAAACCACAAAAGTAAACAAGAGAGGAAGAAAGAAACAAAGGATCTGGAAAACAACCAGAATACAATTAACAAAATGTCAGGAGTCATGTTCTTACTGATCAATAATAACCTTGAATGTAAATGGATTAAATTCTCTAATTCAAAGACATATAGTGCCAAACTGGATTAAAAGAAAAAAACAGGAACCTACTATGTGCTGCCTAAAAGAGACTCACTTTACTCACAGACTCACAGTAGGTCCAGTAAGGATACATATACACAGAAAGTGAAGAGATGAAAAAAAGATATTCCACGCGAATGGAAAACAAAAGCAAGCAGGAATAGCGGCACTTATGTCAGAAAAAATAGACTTTAAGTTAAAAATTATAAGAAGAGACAAAGAAGGTCATTATATAATGATCACTAGATTGTTGAATTCCATTGTTGAATTCTCAATTGCATTTATTTCATTCATTAAATTCTTAAACTCAGACTTCTCTTGGGTTCTTTTTTATAATGTATATCTATGTTGAATTTCTTATTCAGAAATGTAAGAAAAATAAAGTCCCTTCCAGACAAGCAAAAACTAAGGGAATTCATTGCTACTAGACCAGCCTTACAAGAAATCCCTAAGGAACTTTTTTCATAAATTGTTTTTCTGATTTCATTAAATTCTTTGCTTGTATTCTCTTGTATCTAGTTGGGTTTCCTTAAGATCATTATTTTGGATTCCTTTTCAGGCATTTAGTAAATCTTATTTTCTTTGAGGTTTGTTACTGGAGAATTATTGTACTCCTTTGAGGTGTCATGTTTCCTGTTTTTTAATGTTTCTTGTGTCCCTATGTTGATAGCTGCACATCTGATGCAACAGTCACCTCTTCTAATTTTATGAAGTAGCTTTCTTAGAGAAAGACTTTTTCTGTAGATTCATCCTAGCATGTCAGTTGGATAGGGTATGTTGGCTTTGGTTCTAGATAGAGACAGAAGTATAGTCTTCATGCAGTGACTTCAGCTACAATCCACATCTGCAATATCTTTGAGTATTTCAGTGGCGTAGGCTGCAGGAGTTTGTACTGGCAGTGGCATGGCTTTGCAGGATGCTGGGCTACCAGGTTGGTTCTCAGGCCAAGGGTGTATATGCACACACAGTAGGTCCAATTGAAAAAGGGTGTGGTCTTGCAGGTGCAGGGCTACTGAGCTGGTTCTCAGGTTGAGGGTGAGTACATACACCCTCATGGGTATGAGGGTGAGCAGAGTAGATCTGCTGGCTAGGGGAAGCTTCCCCGGTTATATAGGACTGCCTGTCCATACAGGAAGCAGGGCACCATGTGCCTTTGGGCACAGTAATTTCACAGGGCCCATACTCTAAGTAACCAGGATTGTGAAGTTGTAGCCACCTGTATGAACATGGTGGAATAATGAGAAAGCCTTGGGGATGGAGAGACGCAGGGGCTACTGGCCCCCAGAACAGGACTCACTCTAGCAGTAGCTATAATTCCAAGATAGTGCCATGACATAGCTCATAGGTCATAGGGGATAAGGGTGTGCACAAGGTAGTTTCCTGCACTGGAGCAATGTAGCCATGAGAACTCCACGCTGCTCCCCAAACTGGGCTCAGGGCCTGTGAGGACTGCAGGTTTCCTTTGTAGCAAGAACTGCAGGTGTCTGTGGTTGCAGGGGCCTTCGGCTTACCTTTTCCCTGCAAGGAGAAGTTTCTCTTGGCTCCAAGTCAATCTTGGTGGGGGAAACAGAGTGACAGAGAAAGGGTGATTTCCACCCCTCTCTATGCTGCCATCCTGGGTTTCCGTGCTCCACAGAGATTCCATCATTTCTGTGCCGTACTCTAGCGCCCTCCTTCAGACACACTAGTCAAAATGTAGCTATTTATTTTATATTTTGGCCCTTTTGTAGGGGAATTAGTGCTAGGAACCCCTAGTCAGCAATTTTGTTGACATACTAATAATCTCTATCTTTATAATATATTTTAATACTTACAAGGAAAAGACTCTCTCTTTTTTCTTCTATTCAATTTTTTTCTTGGCTGTTTCCAGCATTTTTGATAGAAATTTTAGAAATGTTTTGACAAGTTTTAGGATATTCAGTAATTTAATTGGTATTATATTAAACTTGCATATTAATCTAGAAGAAATAACATTTTTAATACTGAATGTTTCTATTTAGGAACATCTTTTGAAATTTCACTAAAACACATATTACTTTATGTTCCACCTATAAAATGATAAAATGTTGCATTTCTAATTATGTAGGCAACTCTTTCTAATTTCTTGTTCAGTTGTTTCTTACTATTTTCTTTCTTGTATTGCAATTGTGAATGCTGTTTTCCCTGGTTACATAATATATGCCATTTCAGGCATATAAAAATGCTATTAGCTTTGAATGTTTATCTTGTATTAAAATAACATTAATAAGCAAATGCTAGTCATTTTTTTTACTTAATTTTCTTAAAATTTCTAAGTAGAAACCAGTAGATCATGTTTTAAAAATTATGTTTGTCTTCCTCCCTCCAAGACTTCCAAAACTCCTTCTCTTGCCTTTTAATTGTCTAAATACACTGGCTAGAATTTCCAAAGACAGGAGTAGGGGAAGAAAGTCAACTAAGAGAGATAAAACAGCCAAGTGTGTCTTTTAAGACTATTCACATAATGAGGAATGTGTAGACAATTATCCTTTTTATGGGTATTATTATTTCCTTAAAAGTTTAAAAGAATTCTCCTAAAAATATATGGGCCTAGAGGCATTTAAACAGA